CCAGTCTTCCTTCTGAGGAGTGGCTGGTGGGTTTGAACTGCCAGCCTTCTGGTTAGCAGTCAAATGCCTTAGGCACTATGCCACCAGAGTTCCTGAATTAGAGACTACACCCCCACAAATTTATTGGAATCAACTCAGTGGCAACCAACCATAACAAGACTCAGTCAGACAACTCTGAAGGCATTTGCTCTGAAAAAAAAAAATCACTAAAAACAATTCCACAAAAGGCATCTAAGGAGGTTCTGATTTCATTGAAGTAGCCATGATCTTTTATATTTCATGTCTCATACAATAAAGAGCACAAACAAGATCTGAATGCACTTATTTCTAAAACTTCTACAACTTGAGTGGAGCCATAAAGCACCAAACCTAGATGTTCATTTCTATGAAAACATCGTGATCCAAAAGAAGTATTGATTGCTCATTTGGTTCACAGAACTAATTTAATCAATACAAAGTTTTGCACTTGAAACTTGGATTTCTTTATGGAGAGAAACAACCAGAGGGTTTTATACTATGTATCAAGGCCTTACAATGTACTTGGCACTAGTTTTGGCCCTTAACATGTGTTGTTTAATTTAAACTCACAACAACCAGTAAGGTGGATATTATTAAGCACATTTTATAGATGAAGACAATAGGACTAAGAATGGTTAAACACCTTGTCCAGGGTCACACAGCTAAAAAGTGACAATGCTGGCATTCAAAACCAAGCCAATAATTGCAAAGACGACTGTTGTTTACAATGTCACTTTGTGACAACCTGTTCATTTCCTTTCACCCCTTCCTTCCCTCCAGTTAGTCTCTTAATGCAAGAAAATGAGATGAGAAGGGCTTATTTCTTGAGTCAGCAATGCCCTCATTCAGGACAGGAGGCTGCCAGTCACCTGTGATACGTAGACCATGGAATGCAACTTACAAGGGCTTTTCCAGTTCTTCAATAAGGTAGCTATTAATAAATAACCACAACGCACCTACTCTGGCTTCAGAACACATCAGACCAGCAAATCTAAACTCTGTCCAACCAGCATCAAGAAGTCGCTTTGAATGAATATTAAAGTTCAAATGTAAATTGTTCTGCATCTGTTCTAACCCCCTAGGCACTGCATTTCTGGAGTTAACAAAACTAACATTATGTGCTATCGTGCCCACTTACCTTTCTATGAAAATTAAAAGTGACAATATACTAGCTGGAAGGGAAAGATACATGTAATAATTCACTTCTTTCAAAATATTTAGCATCTGAAAAGAGAACAGGAAACCATCTTAAATTCAAAATGGTGAGATATTTGAGCACACACATTCAGTGACATTTGATGTGTCCATTTGCTGGAAACCTTTCAAATTGAATCCAAATCTGTTTCAATTACAAAATCCTAAATAATCCAATTTATAGTTTACTTCCGTAGTAATACTGCCTTGGAAACCCAAGGAGGGGTCGCTATGAGTCGGGTTCGACTCAAGGGCACATAACAACAACAACATACTTTTATTGGGCATTGGTTTCTCTTGGCAAGACAGCCACATCCTCAGTAATCATGGCCTATACTGGACAACTATATTTGATTCTTAAAAAGGCAGATCTCTCAAGATCTTAGATGTACAATTGGTTTTGATATGTTTATTATCTTGGGTGAACATCAGTTGTCTCTACTGGTTGGAACATAGGACTGGCTGGTTCTTTTCCCACAGTGCTTTACACACATAAAAAACATGATTACAATTCAATTACACAAATGTTTATTGGTATCTCAAATAACAAGGTACAATATTAGTTGCATTCAAAAAAAAGAAACCAAAACCATTGCTGTTGAGTGGATTCCAACTCATGGCAAGGCTATACAATAGAGAAAACTGCCCCACAGGGTTTCCAAGGCTGTACAGAAGCAGACTGCCACACTTTGTCCCATAGAATAGCTAATGGGTTCGAACAGCTTTTTGGTTAGCACAGCTGAGCACTTAACCACGGTGCCACCAGGGCTCCTTATTAGGTATGTTAGTGGTTACAAAAGTGCCTGTGTCACAGTCTAGTCAGGAGACAAGGAAGGACCTAAAGCAGACCAAAGAGAGGTTTTAATATAGGTATGAACAAAGGGCCCACTAGCTCACAAATGTACCCCACAGATCACAAGTGGAGGTGGGAAGCAATACCAGTCAACACCATGAAAAAGGATGCAGAGCATTTATCTCGCTGGGGGACACTCAGAAGAAAGGATGAGTAAATTATAATGGGCTAATAAAAAGAATGGATGAAAGTGGCATCTTTTAAAATAAAATACCTTAGCACTTTAACTATAGCACATCTGTTTGAATGAATAACACCCATCCAAAATGAGCAAGGGACCCAGGACCCAATATCCCTGCACTAGAGACCACTACAATGTCATCATGGACTGCTGCTGTTGTTAGGCGCCGTTTGAGTCATCTCCGACTCATAGCGACCTTATGTACAAAAGAACAAAACACTCTGCCACATGGGCTGCTAGGTGACCTTAGCTTTATGCATGCCTTAGAACAGAGAATCTGCTGCTATCATTGCATGTATTGGAACTTCTAGAAAATGTGCTGTTGGTTAGACTGAATGTAGCTTTGAATGGGACTTATTTTTAATTCATAGCTGTGTGTGCATTATTGGGTAAAATTCTACAGGTAAGGACATGACTTGGCACACAGAGGCCAAGTTCAATTATATACCACAAAGGCTCAGGGTTTTGTGCTGGGTTCATGGCAGACCATGGTTGTGTAATGAGAACAAACATGTTAATATAAAATTGCCTCATTATCAATTATTGCAATGCTTACTATACATTTTGGGGCTTATCCAACTAATAAGTATGGAGAGGAATGGGAAGAACAATTAGATGTGAGTGATCCAATTTTATTCCATTTCTCCTTTTTTAAGTGATGATCTTTTGTATCCTGAGGTAGTACCAAGGTTTTGAACAGCTAGCCTTCTGGTTAGCAGTCAAACTGCTTTAGGCACTACATCACCAGAGCTCCCAGTTACTGGGGAAAGGAGGCTAAATTCTTAGATAGGTTAAAAAAACAAAAACAAAAACAAAAAAATATATAGAGAGAAACCAAAGATTATTAGTGGTTACCAGGGGTAGGAGAGAGGGGGAAAGAGGAAACTTTTGTTTGCAGGGCACTGAGTTTATCTGAATGGTGGTGGAATATTTTGGAAAAGGACAGCAATAATGGTGGCACAACATGAAAAAAATGTCATTGATGTCCCTGAGGTGTACATGGGGAAGTTGTCATATTGGCGAATGTCTTCTTGTGTACGTTTTTATCAAAAGTAAAAAAAAAAAAAAGATTTTGTTTTAAAAAAGGAGTCTATACTTGCCACACAAAAGCACTGAAAGCTGCTGGTAATTTACACTGAGAGCTGGAACACCATTTTACAAGCCAAGAGAAGACCGGTGGCTCTTTGTACCTAACTTCCATGTAGGCAAATTTTTATTATAAAGTGTGCATTCTTGTCATAAACAGTTGTCAGAGTGATTCCCCACCCCCACCCCCACCCCCAATTTCTTGAACACCTTAGACCTTGGTAGATTGTGCTGTTAAATATCACACACTAAGCCTCTGGAAGTTCCTACGTAAAATTGTCAAGATTTGAATGTGTTTTGTGAAGTCATTTTCTGTCCCTCTTTTTGTAGCTCCCGTTTGTAGTACAATAGTTGCTAT